TAGAAGATACCGCCGGCTACCGCAGTGCCGAAACTTGAACCCGAACCTCGGAACGTACCCAGCAGACTGGTGGCAATGTATCGGGTGTCATCATGGCTGAGGTGCAGAATATGCGCAAGGGTGTAGTTGACTCCCCCACCTGTCGCAAGGCCGTTGATCAGCACGACTACGATGAAGAGAGCAAGAGGAAGACTCGTGGTGCTAATGAGTGAGAGTACATAGGTGCTCGCGGTGAAGATGGCAAGGGCTGCAATGGAGGGGAGCCAAAAAGCCCCGTCTCGGCGCACATGAAGCCAGCCGACGAGGATGCCACCCAGACCAAATCCTATGTTTGTAGGAATGAGGATGGAGCCTGCAGCTGCCGGAGAAGAGCCTCGAACCGCAAGCATGAATATAGGCGCGTAGAACAAAACGCTCCAACGGGCTATCATGAGACCCAGCTGTGCGAAACATGAGAATAAGATACCCCACGAAGAGAGAACCTTGACGGGTATGATGGGATCCGCTACCAGATAGTTCTCAACTGCGAGGAAGAGCAGGAGGATGACGGGTGCGATGCACAGGGGTACTGTTTGGATTTCATCTGCGATTGCGTAGAGAAAAAGCACAATAGATGTGGTCTTGAAGTGTGAGTTAGCGGCGATTCTGTGAGAGAAAAGCATGCGAAGCTTACCAAAAGACCAGACCCGAGATAGTCGATCCGTGCGAGTTTCTGTCCCGTAGAAGTCTTGGTATCATGTGCTTCTGCTGCAGCGGGTATACTGATAAATACTCCCAAACCCGTGGCGAAAGCGAAAGGGATTTGTCCCCAGAAGAGTGGCCTCTGTGGCCGGTCAGTCACAGCGCCCAAAATTCTGAGTCCACACGAGTTCAACGTACCCATCCTACAACTGGCATCAAGCCCCCGAATACGATAGCACCGAAGGAAACACCAGCAGTAAAGCCCGCATTAATCAAGCCTAGCACAAGACCCCTCGACTTTTTGCTGGCCAATTCCAGCCCAATAATAATGGCGAGTGACAAAACCCCAGCACCACCTGTGCCTGCAATGACCCGGCCAGCAACAAATGTACCAAACGAAGTCGAGAGGGCGCAGATCAGTCCACCCGTGGCTACAAGAGCCGCAATGAGGAGAATAAGAGTCCTGGGTGGGAAGATGGTTGCCAGGCGCCCTGCTACAGGAGCGAGAGAAGACGTGGGAATGAGGTAGGCACTGGTGAACCACATAGCAGACGAGCCATGGGAACCAAGTTGAGATGCAATGGCGCCCTGAATCAGAGTCATACCAGACATATTACATGCTGCAGATGAGTCAGTAAATCGCGAAACTTACAGTAGGAAGATCGCGGGCGATGAATAAAGCTCTTACCTGTTAAGAAGATGAGGAGCCACAAGCTCACTCCTATCGCAATTCCCCTCACCAGTGGGATGTGGACTTTGGATTGAGTCACAACATGACGAGAATTGGTATCCTTCTGCGTACTCAATTTCACTGCCGAGCTTGATCTCGAGCTTGAGCTTGACCCAGCAAGCAAAGGTGTCTCCTCCGAAGTGAAAGCTGCGTCGTCGCGAGGGTTAGAGGACGGACCCGAGGCGGCGCTGCCGGAGCCGGGAGTCTGCGCCGGAGAATTCATGACAATCGGGCTTAACGAGTGTGACAGGATCGCTAGAGAGTCAATAACATTACATGATCCAAGGGCATCAAAGAGTGCGTTGTTGTCGTCGTCTGAAAGGTCTAGGGGAATGACGTGTGTTACGCCATTGTTGTCGCCATGACTGGTGATGACGTTAGTGACGGGTTAGGAGATAACAGCGGCGGGCGGGGATCGGAGACCGGAGATCCGGGGGGTTCAACGCCGACAGCGGATGCCGACTTGAATCGGAGGGGCATTTGGTTCCGGGGCCGGGAGGAACGGCTGCAGTCACAGAGATTTGAGGAGGAGGAATCCATGCAACGACGTGATGAAATCTCAATTCTTATAAAATAGCTTTGTTCGGAACGCGCACTTAAGTTAGTAGCTTCGTACAGTACCTATAGGTACCAAGGTAGTCATCATGGATTGGACGAGATGAGCTTTCCAAGGTGCAAGTATGGTCAAAGTGAATAGTTTGGTTTCATTGATGAGCAATCTAAGTCCTTTCACTTTCAAGTTCTCTCCTCTAGCAACCCCCTCGAATTCTGAACTTAAAAGGCACCAATGCCTTAGAGTTTTCCCAACCCCAGCCTGTATTGGGATAGGCAGCCCAAGATACGGTGGAAAGACCCTGCGTCTGCATCGGTAACAGACGCTTTTTGCTACTGCAGGAATGGGGAGCTCAATTGATACGAAAAAAAGAGCAGAGATTCGATCAGCGTGGCCGCTGAATTGGCCCAATGGCATAAATCGCTTGAATGGGAGCTCCTCAGTGGATATGAAAGTGGCGATCTGGTGTCACTCACTAATAGGCACCCCCATTTTCAGGGAGCGCCAAAATGAGCTACACGAGGGACAGTGAAGACCAAAGACCAGTCGAGGCCATGCCATGTGGGCATTATCGGTTAGGCTCGTGATCCACGGGCGTCTTGGCTGCAGATGTTGATGTTTGGTTGAGTATTCTTGTTGCGGTGAGAAGCGGAAACCAAAATCTGAAATCTGAGAATCAGCTGAAGTGATAAGGTGACAGTCAATCAGTTGTGATGATGCACGATGCACCCACAAACCGTTTGTCTCATGACGATGGCGGGCCGACGATCAAGGCTTGGTGAAAGCTTGTCGTCGACTTGTCATGCTATGCCATCCTTGTCAAGAGACATGACGTATGATCTATCTTCAGCTTTGAGTGAATGAGGATAAAACAAGAGAGACAGAGGAGCGACGGCACGACGGCGCGGGCGCAGTATGTGCGGACTACTACTTATCACTACCTAACTACCTAAGGTACACCTAAGGTATTAATCACAGAGAGAATAGGTACCTAGGTAAGTAAGTGTAAAGTGGCTTGGGAACTGGAGAGCAATGGGTAACCATTATCAGTGGAGCGATGCTCAAAAGTCGGACAACAGCAGCGTGAGCCGCGGCAATCAATATGGGGAAATAAAGTAGGCACCGCTATTCTTTTCCAGCCCTGGTTGGTGTTGTCATTCTCGCATTGGGAAACGGACTTTTTGTGCATTATATTGTATTGTACTCCGCATTGTGCTGTGCTGTGAAATAAAACTCATAATCAGAAATCATCCAATTGAGGATGAGAACCCTGCTACAGTCGCAAATAGCGGTTGTCTTTGAAAGTTCAGGAGGAAGACTTGGACTGTGAGGGCGACGACGATGATGATGATGATGATGATGATGATGATGATGATGATGATGATGATGATGATGATGATGATGACGATGATGATCCAATTGTGTATCAATTCCCCCAATGGAAACCACCACGTAGCGCAACTTTTCGCTCAACCATTCATCACGCGCCAATGTCATCTTCCCCTCAATTTCGTGCGCGGCATTTTTTTTCAATAGAGGATGCTGCCGCAAGTAACATTAACATTCGCCTAATCAAGCGACCGAGAAGTGACAAGTGAAGAAACACTAAAGTTGACTTTAGCTTAGCTGAGCAGCCAAGATTCAACCAAGACAAGCCCTGCCGAGACAGAGACAGAGACTTGGATCTGGTCTGAAGAGATTTTTCTTGCATGATTTTTGTCTTATGCAGGTCTCGATGCAGCGGACAACAGCAGACCGCGCCAATAGCTACTCCCGTACCTAATAATCAATTAACCACCCCGGAATTCAATTCAATGGCAATTGGATCTGTTAGAACTTAGACATGTCCCTATCAAAGCCTAGACCAATAGACCAGTAGACCAATAGAAAAGCCATCAACCCCAGAATTACCTACCCAACGACTCGAGTCACCTGATAATCGAGTTCCTTACCCGATCAGTCGGTAAATTATCCATTGACTCGTATGCAGTGCGACCTAAAGGGACTAGGCTTTCATAACTCATTCAATTGAGTTGAACTACCGTCTCCCGACTCCTTCAAGACCTCATACCCATCCGTTGCAAGAGTACCTAGCCTGAACTCTACCCCGTACCAGACTCTTCTTCCCTCTCAACTTCCAGCCTTCACCGTTTGAATCCAACTGCCCCGATGGAATGCCGTTGTAAAAGTATCGTAAGGTATCCACATCGTTGGGGTGTCGACTCTTATTTAGCCTCATGGTCCAGCGCTCCCAGCTCCACGGTCTCCCGACTGCCGGCGGGGCACCTAAGGGATCCATTGGCTGGCTCCAGTCACTCTCACCCACTGTTTGGTGGCTGAGATACCCGCTAGAGCCGCTAAAAAAAAACTCACCCCGGCTTTTTCTCTCCGGCGGGTTTTTGGGGGGGGGGAGGGGGGACTTGGACCTTGGACATAACCACTTTTGACGACGGGATTGACCTGGCCTGGCTTTTCTTGCTTGTTCCTTTTACAATCAAGAACTACTACCTAGGACAAGCATACACTCGGCAAGACGAAGAAGAGACACGTATTTTTTTTTTTTTTTTTCTTCTCGGTTGTTAGCAAAATCTTCAACAGATCATCTCCTCCTTTCTTTTTTTTTTTGGTGCTTGTTCGTCTTTTCCTAGGCCCCCGGTAGGCACATCCCGACGGGAATACGCCGCCGCAAGACGCCGAAAACCAGACAATATCCGCCATCTGACAGCCCAGCACGGGCAGTCACGATCCCAAGGTTACGTTACCTGTCCTGGGCTTATTATTATTAGCCTTCGGTAGCCTCTACCCGCCAAAACTCGACTTCCAACCGACTCTTTTGCCGATCCAATTTCATCCTACTCTCCCAGTAATCTCCTGAATTCAGTCCCGATAATCATTCCAACATCCATCGAACCTTGGAAGACATGGCACGCTCATCAAGGTAGCAACGGCTCCAACTTGTCAAGCCAGTCTCCATCTCAGCTTCACACCCAATTTCGCGAGTGACGAGTCCATGTCTCTTCCGATTCCGTCCTCGATATGTCCGATTCGGCCTCCACCGACGATGGAGGCATTCCCGATCGTGGGCCGGTAGTCTTCGCCGTCACTACGGCCACTCTCGTCCTCGCTACAGTCTTCGTCGTAGCACGAATCGTCTCGCGGACCTTCATTGTTAGGAATGTCACCTGGGATGACCGCGTCATGATCCTCGCATGGCTCTTCGCCTTCTTCCTCTCATTCACCATCTGCTTCGGCGTTCACAATGGCCTAGGACGACACGACATAAACATCGACCCGAACCGCTTACCCGCCCTTCGCCGATGCGAATATGTCTTTTCCATCCTGTACAATCCAGCGTTGATGGCCACCAAAACCTCCGTGCTCATATTCTACCTCCGATTAGCCAAGCACACCCAAAGAGTGCTTCGATTCGCCTCTTGGTTGACACTTGCGGTCGTCAATATTGCTGGTGTTATTCTCACCTTCATGAATGTTTTCCAATGCCGCCCGACCCAAGCCGCCTGGGATGTTAATTATGACGAACGCGCGAAATGTATACCACTACTTACCGAGTTTATATGTTCTTCACCCGTCAACATCGTCACGGACCTGGCCATTCTCGCGCTACCTATACCTGTCCTCACCGGCATGCGCCTCCCTTCTCGCCAGAAAACAATTCTGGTCCTTACCTTCACCGTTGGAATATTCGTTACTGTTGTCGATGTGGTCAGAATCTACTACCTTCAGCAAGCCATCACAGCACCAACCAGTACAACTGCCGATCCCCAGTCTCGATTTGGTGGCCAGACCGACTTTGCCTGGAACGCTTCGCGATCGCTCATGTGGAGCGCTGTTGAGGTTAACGTCGGTATGATGTGCGCCTGCGTCCCGACTTTGAAGCCTCTGGTCCTCAAGCTGCTCCCCTCCATGCTCTACGACCCCAATGGAACCCGCGCCAGTACACCCAAGGGCCCCAACGATTCAGATACGCCTTCAACAGGCCACCGCGCCAGTATTCAGCAGCCCCCTCCTGTCGCGCAAACCGGCGCACAGCCTCTCAATGCCAATGCTCCCATGAGCGCGATGGAATTCTTGACGACACCTTTCGATGAGCCAGACCCAACTCGTCCTGCGCAACGTGGGTACCAGAGCAATGGGACCTTTCAAACATCGACAACTATGACGTCTTCAACAGGAACTGTCGAGGGTGTTTATTTTGGCTTTGTCAACATGACAAAACCTAAAAGTATGCTCAAATGCAACAAGAAGCAGTCCTTCAAATACTGCACAATTGTGTCCATCTTGTTTCTGTTATGGGGAATATCATACGGCCTGCTCAATACTTTAAACAATGTCATTGCGAAAGTCGACAATATGACCACGGCTGAAACACTTGGCATGACGTCTGTATACTTTGGAGGCGGTTACTTCTTTGGGCCCCTGCTAGTGGGCGAATGGATTCTTCGGCGCGACGAACACAACCGATCGAGGCGGCACAAGGCCAATGGCCACGACAGCGTTGGTGGCTTCAAAGTTACTTTTATCGTCGGGCTATGCTTTTATGGGATTGGAACTGTCATCTTCTGGCCCTCGGCTGTTACCCAATCATACGCCGGATTCATGCTCAGCAACTTCGTTGTCGGGTTTGGTCTATCAATTCTAGAGGTTGGCGCAAATGCATTCCTAATACTTTGCGGCCCCCCCGAATACGGCGAGACTCGCGTGCTCATGGCGCAAGGTATCCAGGGCACTGGCAGTGTTCTTAGCGGCCTGCTGGCCCAGAAGGTCTTCTTCAAGGGTATTGTGGAACAGAGCAACGCGACCAGCATGACACTTATCAACGTGCAATGGACGTATCTAGGAATCACACTCCTGTGTGTTGCCCTCGGGCTCTTCTTCTACTACATGCCACTTCCCGAAGTGAGTGACCGTGAGCTTGAGCAATCCGCCAAGCATCTTCCTATGGATCCTCAGAAGAAAAGAGGCGGTCTACAGCTTCGCACATGGAGTCTTATCCTCGCCGTTGTTGCTCAATACACATACGTGGCTGCCCAGGAGTGTTTCAGCATCTACTTCCGCAGCCTCATGATATCCATACTCCCCAACACACCCAACACCGGCGAGCAAGCAACCGAAGGTGCAGGCGACATTCCCAACCCCGATAAACCACCTGGCATCGCACTCTCAATACCTGATTATCTCCTCATCGCGCATACCGCCTTTGCCGTGTCCCGCTTCATGGCAGCTGGCCTTGCATATCTCTCTGTATATCGTTCCCGCTTCCCACGACCCCGTACTATCCTCACCGCCTGCATCGCTGGCTGCTTCGTCTTTGCCCTTCTTCCTGTGGTTGTCCGTCCACCCAACCCTAACCTTCTTGTCATACCCATTGTTCTCTTTTACTTCTTCGAGGGCCCTATATATCCTCTTATTTTTGCCATTGGTCTTCGCGGCCAAGGCCGACGCACCAAGCGTGCTGCCGCCTTTATCACTATGGGTAGTTCCGGCCCCGGATTCTTCCCCTTTGTCATGTACGGCATAATTAAGCACGGAGGCACCGTCAGAACGGCTTTCGTCGTCGTCATTGTCCTCCAGGCTGTTTGCATGTCCTACTCGGTCTTTCTCCAATTTATCAGCGACGCCAAGCAACTCGTCGATCCTTGCCCTGCGGTGCGTGATGCCCTCAGACAGCCGGATGAAGAGATGCCGTCGCCCATGGAGACAGCGATTGCTGGGAGAGCGCGCCGACAAAGCACGATGAAGGAGAAGTCTCAGGGGTTCTTGGATAAGGTGTCACATGGAACCAAGGTTATAAGTGCCAGGTTCCTCAGTACTCGGCGCCGGTCTTCACAACCCTCGATCCACCAATGCGAAGATAGTCGCGATAATGCGGTGTCATAAGTAATGCCTCTGCCTCTTTTTCTCCAATCTCTATATATATTTTACAGTCGAATACTTTCGGAACTCTTGGATTCATAAACAGCGAAAAAAAGGGAGGCGTCGGGTTGGGTTAATGACGGATGAATTGTTTTTGAATGCTCTATACCCAACAGGTCATTGTTCTGGATGGACATTGGTACATACCTTTTTTTAGTTATGGTTTCAAGGATATGTGTATGTGTATATATGTATCATATGTTTGATACGATATGATAATCAATGCATTACCAAAAGCTCAAGAGCCACAACGTCAGAAATCTGATGAAGGCTGCTATTTCCTGGCGTTTTTAATGAGTTGCTCGTCAATCTCAACATCATTTCTCATATTGTTTGATTCCAGCTTAGATCTGCAATTATGTGCAATAAGACCAATCATGAACTTATTTTCACCACCCGAATTGCTCCAGATGCAACTCAACACCAGCTCTGTTTTCCACGATACAGTCTGCAGCCGCGTTCTGAATGGCCGACGTGAGTGTCCGTGGTCCGCAGCCCATCACCAGAACTCGTTTGTCGGATGGCGTACTCGCTATTAGTTCTTCCACAAGTGAAGCGACATCTGGTCTCCCAACGTCAAAGATATCATCTAGGGAAGCATTTATCACGGGTGGGAGAGCTTCGTTCTTCTCAATGTCTAGTGATAATCGGGTAGTATCGACATGGGAAAGACCGTCTTGTTCTGGGTCGGACTCGACAAAAGTGTTACTTGAAGACGTGTGCGATGCGGAGGGAAGCTGTCTCCGGGGGACAATCTCGGTTTCTGAAGCTCGTGTTACATAGATCTTGGTCGAGACACGGTGGTCTCGACGTAGAGTCTCGATATGTTCGGCGAACCAGGTGAAATATGCTGCAAGATTGCTTAGTATTGCGACATCACGGTTTTTAACGTGGACTTACTTGGTTTCCTGATCATCCATACGAATTCGATATCGATCTCAGCATCTGTGTCCAGGCTTTTAAGCATATCTAGAACCGCGCCAACCGTGAAGCTTGCACCGCTACCCCCTGCTATAAGCATGACCTTGTCATACCCCTTGACATCAGGGTGATTACCGTAAGGACCCTCAACTGACCCTTTCAATGTGATTCCTGGGTACTCAAGTGCACACTTGTGCAAAGCCCGAGTGAATCCGTCATGGGCTGCCACAACAAACTCGAGGGGATCAGTAGCAACCATGGTGAAAGGGTGGGTTTCAACGGCGCGTACCCCGGGGATCCAAAGGAAGCCATGTTTACCAGATGAAGATCCATATGGTGCCTTGGCAAGTGTGGCACGAGTACCGCCATTAGGGAGCGGCGTGAGAGTTACGGTGTTATTGGTGCTGTTAACGATGATACGTGCCAGGCGGATGACTCGCTCGAGGACCCAAATTCCAGCTGAAGCAGAAATGACGTACAGAACCTTCTTGCTAGGCTCCGGCTGATGGAGGCCGGTCATGATGACAGCGAGGATCCAGAAAACCACATGAAGGTAGTAAAATAGTTCGTACCACCACGTCCGGAGGACAGCACCGGCAAAGCCAAGGACTAGGAATGAGCCCATAGAGACCATGCCGAAGATTTCTTCTATCGCAAGCAAGCGCTGGAGAAATTTTTGGGCACCGAACACGGCAGCATAACTGCAAGAGTGCACTATGGCAAAGATGAGAGTAGTGTAACCGGTTATGCGATGGAGAATGTTAAGGCGTTCATAAGAGGAGGTCATGAATATGACAATGGGAGTATTCTTGAGGGAGAGAAAGACGACGATGAGGAGATTTGCAATAGCCATCCTGTAAATATTACGTTATTAGAAGTTTTGTCAAGAGTTTGTTTGGAAACTAACCACCCGGTTCGAGAGGCCATGTTGGAAAGAAGCGGCATATTGTCGTTGTCCAGGTAAATAATAGTGACGATGGCGTTTATAACTAGATATCCGAATACAGCAAGAGTATATCCTCCCGACGGTAGCCTCATGATATTTACAAGAGCACTCGCTCTCAGGCGCCTGTGATACAGTTAAACCAATGTTCCGTTCCGGGTGAGGACAGATCATTACCGGAAGATCGCTGTGGCGGTATTTGGTTTGCGCGAGGCACCTAGATCAACGCAAAGCCTTCTGAGAAGAATGGTTATGCAAATGGTGAAGTATAAAGCAGTCATAGCTGCAGCAAAGACAATCATGGCATTGTAGTTCAGTTGTTGACGCCGGGCCAGTTTGGCGGCAAAGACTGGATCCGGATGTGTCGAACCGCCTGACATTGTTAGATCGAAGTGTAGGTGAAGTTGGAGGATCGAACTGGCACAGACTTTTAGATATGAAGAAGAGGAAGAGGTTGTGTTGACAGAACTAAGAGGGAGAGAAAGAAGTAGGCCCGTACTAAGTAGGACAAGACACAATGATCGTGAAGAACTAAGTCAGGTAAGGTATCAGTGTGTCAGAGGATCAATCTCCGAAGTCACACGGCGACAACTGAATGAGTTGTAGCCAATGTTCGGAACTCATGGGCGTTGCCTTTCTCTCGTATCTTTTGTTGGCTAACATGATCAGAAGCTTTAATCTAAAAACCTGTCACTTTCGCGTTCTATCGTAAATATTTCCAAATATTCGCATAGGGACCATTGGTGATCAATATGTGGGATCCATCCGGACGTTCGAAGCAGCTCCGGAGAGAACTCAAGAGCAGCTCATCGCATTAGCAGTGACGTACCTGTAGCTTTGACTTACTGACAGATACTTTACCGTCCACATATATGCAGGTACTCTGGGTAGCGTGTGACTGATACCAGAAGTTGATCTGTGAGTGGTTGTGAGTCCAAAGATCGCGGGAACTGGCATGAATCACCATGAAGGATGCAGCTCGAGATCGGATCAACACGCCTAACCAAACATTTAATCTCGGTGCCAATTTTGCGTGTTGGCTTCAAAGCCACTTCAATCTCTGTCCGTCATCTACCGTCAAAGGCACTTGTTCTTTGCCAACATATGAGCTGCTTCGGCCACCTCTGACGCGTCTTGTGGCTGAAACTGTGCTTCAACTTCTGCATGACCATTTGCATTGATCAGATACATATGGCTCAATAGAATATGGGTATAAACAAAAGCTTCTGTACAGCATCTCAGCCCCAAGTCGAGGCTGTGGGCTTCCTCATCACGAGTCTTCTGGATGTCATTCAGGAGCAACAGTTAAATACAAAACGCCCAGATAAATGTGACAACTTCGCCGCAGAATATAGTTCATGAGAGGAGTAACTTTCATTAAACTTTATCCTCAGTTTGTGGCAACTCTTTGCACATGGCTTGGTCACTTCTAAATGCTTGACCCGTTGCAAACAAGTAAAGGAGTCTGTAGGGATAGCCAACCTTCCGTCCCTGAGTATACGCCCACACAACCCGCATGTGTGTTGTATGACTTAAGGTGTCTCAGACTTGCTTATATCTTACTCCTTTTCATGACTCTGAGGAATCGTTTTATGTGGGGACGAAATAAGATGAAACTTCCCAAGTACTTCCTGAGGTTCGCAAGATGACATCGCAGGATAGAGCCAGCATCCTATCCGAGTTTGCTCCAGAAATGAAGTGAAAGGAAGCCTCAGAAGGTGACAGAGTGTCGCCAGAACCTCGAAAAGGAGGCGTAAGGATCGGACGAAGCGTCGAGCGGAGGGTCGTTTCCAATGATATTATCAAGATGAAGTAAAATTATCTTGAGATGTGCCTCAAATCGTCTTGTTCTACTGGCAGAAACCTCCTTTACATCTTTTTCGGTCGCTTGAATGCCCTCGGCCAGAACTTCAACAAGACATATACCTTGGTATCAGAGCAATCCCTGTGTATCGTCGGCTTCTACCCCAGATGCGACGGCTTCGTGTGATACAAGCATGCTTTGTCAAGCTGACAGATATGCCGAATCTGTTAAACATTGTCGGAAAACATTGGGTGTGAAACCGATATGCTTGATGTCGCTACATGAGGTTGCCAACAATGTCGAGGCGGCTCTTTGCAAAGTACTCGGCATCTTTTATGGTGTAGATGGTTGCACACATCTATGACAGGGCTTTCACTCCCTTTTACGAAGTGCCACCGTTTCATTCCTGCCAGAAGCCGTCGGACCTCCAAAATATATAAATATTGCTTAGCACGAGTGGCTGATTTGTTGGCCGTGCCCCGGGACGCCAACAGTGTTGTCGCGGTTGTACTTGTAGTACCGCAATCGCAGTCATGTCCCTGGGCAATCATAAGGCGAGAAGCTATGAAGGCAATCATATGCAAGAGGTCGTTTTCTCATACAAATTTTTCATTGTCACCTCGACATGGGCAACATGCGTCTAACCACATGAAAAGACGGAAATCGATGATCGACTGTACACCTGGTCCTTTCACTCGACCAGCGGTTGTTCTGAAACCGGCTGGACTTGCCTTGTGGAAGCTCGTGCTATAATTTGCTAGTTTGAGCAATCACAACGGCTAGATACCCGGGTTGCTCTTTGCTGATGAAGCGGGAACCCACTCGGATGTGACAACCATTGAAGTTCTGGGATCGGTCCGTTCATCTATGTCTTTGCTAGCGTTTGACGAAAGTGTGCGGGAAACCCTCTAAGCAATTGACATTTTCATGCCTCCGTTCGCACAAATTACACTTCCTGTTGTCCACCCACTCTCTTCTGAACAGAGCATATCAATTGTACCGGCGATTTCGGTCGTAAACCCGGGCCTTCGATAACCCATGTTCTCACGTACAGTTCGATCAAACCGCTCAGCATCAGTCCCGGCCATAGCCAAAACCTCCGGTTCGCCGTTGTACTGCGCCAATGGGGCTGCGTCAACATAAGGTTGGTTTATGTTCCAGAAAGTCTGTCCCGCGGCTGCGTACATATCTCCCCAAGCAGGTCCGGGATTGACCGCGTTGACTGTAGCACGAGTAGCCAGCTCACGACTCCAGGTCCGCGTCATTGCTTCCAAGGCCGCTTTACTCCCTGCGTAAACAGATTGGCCCTGATACCCGATAGACGAAGATACACTGGAAACGTTGACAATGCGGCCCGCGCGGTTTGTGGGAAGATGCGGGGCGACAGCCTGGGTTAGGAGGAGGGGGGCCAAGACGTTGACGTTATAGACGCGGTGAAACTCAGCGTCTTGGATTTTTCCATGTCTTTCATCATTCATATGCTGGTTAGATGAGACGCCGGCATTGTTGATTAGTATATCGATTTGGAAGGGCTTGTCTAAGTTATATGAATTATGAAGGCGACGTGCAGCCTCAACGATTTTGGAAGATGCTTCGGATGGCTCGCCTAAATCGGCCTGTACTGCAATACATTGAATTCTGTGTAGAGATGATAGCTCGCCGCACAGATTTCTAGCTAGTTCCGTGGACGAGTTGGTGGTGTAAACAAGGAGAAGATTGCATCCTTTTGCAGCGAGTCTCGCAGCAACAGCCGCACCAATGCCTTGACCGAGTCAGTGACCTTGTAAATTGGAAGTGATTTGTGAGAGATCAACCTCGAGAGCCACCTGTGACTATTCCGAGCTTTGAGTCATAGGGACGATGAGACCTAGGGGCAGCTGCTGTGTCTGCCATGATGGATAAAAAATTAAATTCAAAAAGTAAATTCAAAAAGTAAATGATGCTCAAATTTTTGATTTATTGTGGCGCTGGATTTTGTAGTAGGTTGAGATCCCCACGAAGGTTCCTTCCATGGGTCTGCATCATGATGGTGGGAGGGCATGTGACGTACCTATCTACCTAGGTAGGTACCTACCTAAGACAACGTATACCGTTAAAAACATAGAGGCAAGTGCGACGCTTCATCCTCAATCAACGCTCGAATGCATGGGAAAGCTATTTCAATGAACGCAAGACCTAGACCTATTTTGACTTATCATGGTCATAGATTCAATCACAGGCCACCTTCCATTCGGAAGCCAGTTCCCTTCACAATCGAAGAATCCAAAGACGGGAGTCGCCAAGAGCCGGAGTCTACCTACCTTACTGGCCAAGTTGGCCAAGTTAAGTATGCGGGGGCCTATGAGGGGTAACAACAACTGAGGGGTTCTCCAGGGCCATATATCATGAAACTCCTCCACTACCTAGGTACCTTGCAATGGTGGATGCTGCTGATGGTGAACCTTAACTACCTTATGAAGTGGCCCTAGGGACTTCTTCCCACAATCCCCAAAGCAAGGGTCCTAGCCAATCAGAGACTCAATACCATGGAATCAGCGGTCTCATTGACGGACAGCCGAGACTGTCTCCATCAAGCCTTTCTTCTTTTATACAGCTAACGGCTTTAGTCGTCAAATGCTCCTTCGACCGCTAGTCTGTTGTGATCTCAGTCGTCTTGTTTGGGTAACTCCGAATACTTCACGATGGAGACGGAACAACGGTGGTGACAAGGAATTGTCCTGTCAAAGACTTCGGAATGCCCCAACTAGGGAGAGCATCTTGTTATCCAAGGGCCGTGAGTCGCCGATGCCACTGATTATTGATAATAAACAGAGGGTCTTCATGGAGGGAAGGGTTCCGGAGCGCGAAATAACGTGAGGGGATTTGGCCAGCAATTGCTATCCTTAGATCGTATAAAGGCTCATATTTTACAATCTTCACTATCATATCTTTTGAGACATGGTCTCTCTTCTGTCTTCTCTTCCCCATCACTTTACATACCTTATTTGTTGGAGAAGCAGCACCCAACATGTCTGATCTTAACCCCCTCAATGGAGGCAACTTCGTCCATGATAACAATCGCGTGGTCGATGGAGGCTCCATTCTGAAGCGGTTCTCTCTTCAGGGCAAGACGGCCATCATTACCGGTGCCGCCGCTGGCATCGGTCTCTCTATCGCCGAAGCGTACGCTGAGGTCGGTGCCAATATTGCAATCTGGTACCGTACCAGTAGCAAAGCTGAAGAGCGTGCTGAAGAACTTTCCAAGAAATACAACGTCTTAGGTAGAGTATTTGCAACCTCTACTTAAATGTCTACCCTTTAACTTTACTTGTCCAGTCAGGGCCTATCAGGTTGATATGAGAGATGCCGAAGCTGTTGAGAAGGCTGTCGACCAGTCAATCAAGGACCTTAATGGTCGGCTGGATATCTTCGTGGCTAATGCCGGTATTCCTTGGACGAAAGGTCCCATGATCGATGGCCCTCTCGATCACTACCGTGACGTTGTCCAGACCAACCTGGACGGCACTTACTTCTCTGCCAAAGCTGCAGCTAAACACTGGCGTCGCCAAAAGGTCGAGGGGACTGATACTGACGGCCAACCTTTGACAAACTACACATCTGGTAGTTTCATTGCCACGGCGTCCATGAGTGGAAGCATTGTAAACACTCCTCAACTCCAGGCTGCTTATAATGCCGCCAAGGCTGGTGTCATTCACCTCATCAAGAGTCTGGCTGTTGAGTGGGCTCGATATGCTCGTGCCAACGCCATCTCTCCCGGTTACATCATCACTGAGATCTCCAACTTTGTGCCACAAGAGACCAAGGACATTTGGAAAGACAAGATTCCTCTTGGGTATGATTTCTCTGTCTGTATACAGTCGATTTGCTGACAAGGACACAGCCGTGAGGGCGAGCCTCATGAGCTCCAAGGTGCTTATCTGTTCCTAGCATCAGACGCTTCCACATACGCCACTGGTGCCAACTTTGTTATCGATGGGGGCTACAGTGCTCCATAGTTCTGATATTTGAGAAATAGAGATACATCATTTATACGTAAAGGATGACAAGTTACTCAAGCAGTATACAGACCTTGGCTTCAGCATTATTTTAGACGAATAGACTATACCAAGTTATAAGAGCCTATAGAGAATACGAATGTATAAAAGAATAGGGGAGGAACTATTGAAACAAATACGACAAGCCTAATAGCCTAATATTCTGCTACTATTCGATAGATAAGTCTATAAATAAAAATCACGACACTTAAACTAAAAATGTCCCCAGTTGCCATACTTGTGAGGGCCAACCGCATCACCTCAGTTCTCCTTTCTCCATTTATGGGGAGATAAAGGAGAATGGACGCCTGTAAGGCGTAACGCCTCTGCCTTCATGGCTGGGTCGTCCTTGATAGTCCCCGGAATTTTGGTGTACTGGCGCTTGTTCTTCCTTCTAAAAGGATTGAGCGGAAGTCCTTTGATACTCAGGCTATTCTGTTCCTCGTCGTACTTGGTCGCTTGGAGGATAGAATCTGCAAGTTGGACAAGCTGTGAAAAAGAGTCACTTTTTGGGAGCCTACTAAGTTCATTACGTCCATGCTTGACGTATTTGACCCCTCCGATCAGCACACTCTCGTCTTCGGTTGTTAAGACTTGACGCATACCATGTAGGATCAGCATAGAGCCTTCGACCTGCAGATTGACCTCTGGATCCATCGTTTCGAGATATTCTTTGCATGACTTGACCCATTTGTCGGCGTCATTCAGGAGAATCTTCGCCAATGTAAGATCCCCCTCCCGCAGAGCCAGTTGAAGATAGTTGCGAGTTCGGAAGAAGCAGACCAGATTCAGATAGTTGATTCGGTCCACGACGTTCGGTGCTTCTTCTTCGTCATGTATCCCTTGATTCTCCTTCCTAACCGCATTGATTAGACTGTCAACCGTGGTGTAGTTGGGCTTTCCCTGGACTCTTATGCCGTCGTTGCGGGCTCGAAGCTCCTCTTTGAGATTTTGAAGTTGGAACTCCAATTCCTGGACCCTGTTTCTGTAAGCATCGTCCTGAGTGGCATTGGACTTTTCGGCTTTCATTGACCAAGGCTTCTCCTCGAGTCCCTTTATCTTGCTTGAAAGTTTTCCAGTCGTATCCTGTTCACTGGGTAACTGATCTAAGAAAGTATCCCTTTCGGATTCTGCTTCAGAGACCTTCTTCTCCAAGCTTTCCGTAGTTACAGGTGATAATTGTGAGCTCTGACTAGACTCGGAGGCTTCTCTGACGGAAGCCAACGGGTTCCCATGTAGCTGTACGATAGCTGGAGGCGGAATTGAATTTTTGTTGTATTTTATTGAGGAATCCTCAAGGTGCGCCTTTTCCTCTTCCGCCTTGCCCACTGCTGTCATGTCAGGACCCAAAGCCAGTTGACGAGCATCTTGTGTAGTTACTAGAGGGTTCGCTTGTATGCCCGTCTTCTCTTTTTCCTCTTTGAGCCTGCTGTTCTCAGCTTGCAGCTGCTGACAGCGAAATTCCCTTTCTTCGCAATCTTTGATGGCTTGGCCTAGCTTCTCTGTCACGTCACGCTGCTGCGTGGCCATTTCGAGCTTCAGTCGAGACATGCTCTTGATGTACTCGTTGACATACTGGACAGGGACATCCTTCTTGTTCCTGCACCAGATTAAGAGAGCAGCATGGAGCCCACTGTTGGATATAAAATGATTAGTCACTTCCTCTCTCAGTCCAGGAGTTACATTAATCCCTTGGTTCTCCAGGCCTTTGATCTGCTTCTCAGCTTTCTCCATTGGAGGAGTTGTAGGTCGCAAGTGAGGGCCCAGCGAGTTGGGTTTACCTGTAAAAGGGTCAGTTACTCTAGAATTATACGCTTGTTGCGCACTCTTGATATCTTGGTTTGATACTGGCATGTTCCGTGCGAACTCAAATTCACGATCTGGATCGCCTCTTTCGGCTTCATGATGCTTGCTTCCCCACCAGTTGAGATCCTTTGTCTTTCGCTTGTTTCTGTAATTTTTGTATGTTTCTATAGTCTCTCGAGCCACTTGAGTCCTGGTTGGCTTAGGTGACGTGGTGTAATCATCGAAGCAAGGCTCATTCTGGCTGTGGGGAGATCCGGAGCCAGTGTCTTTGAGGGATGGCTGTTGTTGGTGGTGATGAACTGTTTCTCCTGTTTCCTGAACGTCTTGTCTCGTCTCCAATTTGTTATCCTGCATCATTTTGAGATTTAAAATCTGGTTCCAGATGGGTAGAAAATTGCTGTCTGTGAAAGAGTCTCTGGTCGTGGCATGGACAACTATCGAGGGTTTCGGAGGCTTTAATAATTCCTTGGAAAGCAATCACTTGGGGCTGAACAGGGTTTGTCCATCAATAGTGTCCGTGTGGTGACCCTGAAGATGAGTGTTCTCTCCGAACCGGGACTTAAAATAGTTGAATACAGGCAACGCTGGTTCATTGATGCATCGAATCCTTGAGAAGGTCTTCTGTTGGTGAGCGTGTTCCCCTTTTTGGGACACGGACAGACATCTTTACTGCAAAACAACTTCATTGAGAGTTGACTCTGACGAACATTCAATGGTTAGTATCACACTCATTTCTATTCTATGTTACCCTCTCAGTATGCTAAATAGCCTGTCTGTTCTAAGGTACGCTTCATTGATCGTTTTTACGTCTTGTGTGCCCAAGTTCATCGGCAGTTTCTGTTTTGAACTAGTGATAATTGTTAAAATATAGAACCTTTGGACTCCAATCGCCCTCCCCCAGACTCTTGACGTTAATATTCTGTGATGGTTATACAAACCCAGTTACCCGAGTCGAGTCCTTTGTCCATCCCTAATTAGAGCTGCCAGCACTGGAAACAAAGGACCACGGTAACGGGGTGTGCAGTTTCTTGTACTTGCTTTGAATTGAACTAGAGATTTCGTTTTCAAGAACAGAAGTTTCCGTCGACAAAACTCACTCATTTGTTGAACAGTGTATTATTCAACCACGTTGATTCGATTCATGAATCTCTTTGTCAATATCAATAGGGGGTGCTGAGATTTGTACAATGCCCCAATGCTGCCTTAATGACCATTCCTCTTTCTTTTTACTACAATATTACAAGATTTTTGAGGTATAGTAGTGTATAACTCGTACTATCAATACCGGACAATTTCTCTCAGAATGCGTTCCACGCTGGTGTCCTTGATACTATGTCTTCTGACCCTTCTCCGGTATACACCCTGTCTTCCACATGCACCGAAAACTCAGTGGTCAACTTGATGCCTCTTTCATTCTCCAACATTGCGAATCCAGTGGCTGATTCAGCATCCGATGCCGCCCTCTTTCCTCTCAAATCTCTTGGCTGCCCGTGGATTGAAACATGAGGATTCGCAGTCATGTAATCTCTGTGCCAAGAATCGTTCAGCGGCTCTTGGGCGCTGCTTCGAGATAGTTTCCTCATGCTGTAATGATTATAGCAGCGGTTGTTGGTCCACTCGAAAAGGGGCTGGAAAGCAGGGAGACAGCTGCACCAGAGACCCGAGTTGATCTCTAGGGGGAAGAACGGTGCTACTCGAAGGCTGTTGTAAGTTCTATAGTACATGTCAGCTGTTATTCTTAATACACCGCAGTGGTTGACTAACATGTCCGCATTCATGTTGGTTGCAAGCAAAAGAATGAGCCTAGTGATTGTCGAAACAACAGCAAACAGTCCAAGCAGAAGCATCAACGTCATCTTGGTGACTTGAGCTCGTGTTTTGGTGGTTGACGCTGAAACCCATATACAGAGGCTGAGTATCACGACGTTAAGAATAGTTGACATAATCGAGTGAGCCCATCTCATACGAGACAGGCTATGTTTTGAAACGCATTGTCTGTCAGGATTTGCGGCGTTGAATACGTCTCTATTAAACTCAGTCTCCGAGTAATTTACAGGGGAGAGAAAGGAATCAACATACGATACCGGGCTACAGGACAAAAGGACAAACAAGAATGAAGTCACAGCAGTAATTATGGTTGCCACAAAAACTCCATAGACGCACGTCATAAAAGACCCTGTAGACTCAGATCAGTAACAGAAACTTGTAGGTGGGTGATTGTCTTACTCTCTCTGCTAATTCGAGGGAGATAAGCAAGGATTGATAGCCTGACAAATCCACCCGCCAAAATGAAAACTAACTTGTCGACAGGAAACAGCTGTAGCAGTCAACAGTCAATGTTCTGGAGAGTACACTTGCAGGGTTCGATGCTTAGTTACATACTGACAGAAGCTGAAGCAAAGTCTCTCTCGGCACATCCTGTATGTGATATCCAACACCCTTCGTCAAGAGGACGATTTCTGTACAAGAAAAGGTCACGACAAGGCCCTAGTCATATGTTTAGTGTACTCTGGTTTTTGATGGGATACTACAACAAGTATTTACCCAGGCAACAACAGCCAACCCATCGTCCCATCCAAGATTCCTGGCCATAATGCCACGAACATACAATCGCAGAATCATCAAGATATTAGTGATGACCATCAGGGCAACGTTGAGGTCAAAAACAGATTGGCCGTTGCCGTGCCTGGGCTCAAAGTCGGCCCTTTCCAGGACCACCATCCTACCCAATCGAGTCCGTCGCCGTCGTCGTGATGGTGATAGTAGTGGTGATGGATATAGCCCGTGTCTTCTCGTCGTCGTCGTCGTACTCGGAAGGACGGCTTCTACCGAGCTTACGATTGATGATATCCGATATCAGTGCAAATGAGCAAGACATTGGTGATGAGTATGGAGAGTCACTCAGTTTCTGACATAGGTGCCTGAGCATTTAGAAGTGCAGTGTGAGTTGGAGAAGGGAGGAATCGTGGTCTACGGGGGTAATCCCATTCTTTAAAGGGAGATGACGAGCCATGGCGTATGCTTTCAGACAGCTTTGGGTATTCTTGGGTATAGGGCAGAGGCCTATAAAGCCACATTGTCGTCCATCGGGAGCCAAAACGTTGGTGGGAGTTTCCCTTGGCCGGACCTGGCTAAGCGCTGTTGATCTTCTGTTCTCGATCATGAGACATCTTGAGTCAAACTCGTGGCCACGTTACACGGGAGCCCTCTTTCGGTAGGATATGCTCAAGACTTGGATGGACAGGAATAGTATTGGTATAAATTTGACAGCCTATTTGGAGACCTTATGCCAGCCTTCATCAGACTCCTCATCTCAAATCCTATAACACGGCAACATATTTGACAGAGGTTGGACCACTAGGGTCCCGACTCTACAACGACTAGAACGACCAAGGAGTATGAGAGACAAGCATGCGTCTTGAGACAAGAGACCAAACTCTTGGGGTCTATCTCCTACTTCAATCCAATAGATCGACTGTATTCACGAATGGGTCAAATAAATTTCCGATAGCATCAAGTCTGGCCGATCCGGTCGATCTTGTCTTGCCCTCCCGTTCCTGGCGAGGCGCTAACTCTGCAAAAACATGCCTCTGTGCCTTGCATGCTGTACATCGTGGGCCGTAACCCCTGCATTCCAGTCAACAATACCACTATTGATAGCCCATCTTGGCACTCTGGGTTTTGACTTTGACAGTCATGTTATGCTGAGCGATCTGCGCAGCCTCGAGATTACAGTTAGTGGCAGTTCTCGTTGCATCCAACACATGCTGCAAGGACAGCCAATATCAAGTTCTATGTAGACTACGTTGCCATCTGCGACCCTAACACCATGATAAAAGGTTTCGTTGTAATCATCCATCTTTTGCGCCCGCAGTAGCCCTTGAAACGCGTTCACAAGCTTCCGTCGCTCATCAGACATTACCCGATAGGAGTCCAGCATTTGAAAGAGACTATGGGAACACAACTGTGAAGTATTAGCTTTATGCAAAAGGATGATTGATCTAGCCAGACAAGCTGCACATGACCATAGAGCCTGAGTTCCCCCAGTGAAAAATCACAATCTAACCTGAGTCCAGCGTAAACCGACCCGTTCTCATTAAGACCAGTCAGTTGTCAAAGCCGTAGCACCTTATCGTACCGTCGAATACCATTGCACCTAGCAGTAATCTTCTTGGTATTGCCTGGTACAGGAGTTCATCACTTGGTAAATCCACATTGTGACCTAGACGCGACGCAGAGGCAGGTGCCCGAATGGGCGCACATATATATACCTTATATGTAATCCAGAACCGCCATCCATACAAGTGCTAATTAGAATCCAACATCTTGATAAAATCCACTGTCCTCAGCCTGAGAACCATCAATTCCAGCACCTTGAGCACCCAGCATAGAATATTCCACAAGCTGCCCATACCTATCATGGCGAGTAGATAGCCATATCATATATCAGATCACAGCGAGTAAGCCAGCCAGCAGCGCTCCCTGAAACCGCACCCAACTCTCCAGTCTAACAACAGTTAGTACCCTCCTTGATTGTCATGGACTTCCGCGCCAACTTGGTTACCACAGCTCTCCATCGGGCACCATATCCTTTGGTGCATAACCTCTCTGTTCTGCCCTGCAACTATTTCGTGATGCACGCACAGCCGCCAGATTCAACGGTACGGGTGGCCCCTTGCGCGGGGCATTGGGGTCCCGAGGACTCGGGGGCCTTGGCACCGGCTTCGGATGCGCAGGCAGACCCATGGATCCCTGTGGAAGCTCAGGTGGTCCAGCTGAGTTCCGGTGTTTTGGTGACGTCGGCGAGATCTGCTTGCGAATGTCGGGGTCATATAAATGGTGGACGGGATGACCACTAGGGGTGGGAGATTGTACAGGGGTTGGTCGACTTTGACGTTTGATCCCGCGAGGTGATGTAGGGGCCCAGGCATCAGCAAAGGCATTGCCTGGGTGGATGGCTATCAAGAGTACTGCGGCTAACAAGGGGAGAAGTCCTCCAACCACCATGAAGGCAGCCTCGTTCTGGAAGACATCCCCCGAAACACCATCTGCAAATTCGACTAGCCGATAGAAGGAGTAGACGATCAAGAGAGCAGATGCCATCTCCATTGCTGAAGACGGTGTTAGCCTATGATAGTTGTTCCGCAGGACGTGGACATACTTAGGAGGAACTTCTTAAATCGAGAAGAGGAGTAGACCTGAGAGTGCCGGGCGTCAAGGCTTCCTCGACGAGTGCTCAAGCTGAGGGTGAACCAGAAGTGTAGCCCAGTGCATGCTATCAATGACAAGGCTTGAATGGCCAAACCTGTAGCTGTGATCGCTGCTCCTTGTTTCCGCTTCTCAGGTCAGTACATGATAGTTATTTGCTTCCATCGTGGAGATAACATACTGTGACTCCATTAGATTCATATGCCGTAAAGACGATGCCGATAAGCTCGAATAGCACAGCGACTGCACCGAGTCCCCAAAAAACGAGGCCAGCTACAAGTGGCCTAAAAGGACAAAGTGGCTCTCCATAAATGCCAAGAATGTGAGGAAGGATTATGAAGATGGCAACACTAATCAACGATGGCCCCAAGACTGTTCCGAATAAAAAGAGGAAGAAGTGGCTTTGGCTATCTCGCTTCGAGTGAAGCAGAATACGGCCAACAAATCCTAGTGCTTCGAGAAAAAGTCCTGTGGTGAGTGCGAGGGAGAAGAGGTAGGTCCTAGAGCGGATAGCAAAATAGATGGCGGCGAGAGCAAGGAGAGCAAAGACAACAAGCAACACAGCATTGCCCCCTACACTGGGATTATATGAGTAGAAGCCATCAGAGGCCGGACAGGTCGTTCCACAGTCGCCTGCCATCGTCGGGTGTCGACCAACAAAGGCTGGCAAATTATCATGGCAGGCTGACAACCAAGTCAAAAGCAAAGGGGGACTCGGAGAATAAGACGGGATGGCTTGGCCCCCATACATATAGACAGACTGATCAGAACTCTACCATCTGCCATCTGCCTGGTCTGGGCGGAGCCCTGCATGTGAGGCTCTGTACTCATGGGGCGCTGCAGAGAGGGGGATCACTGTTGGGAGGGCCATGATGCAGTGCAACAGTAAAGACAAGCTAGACAAGGTCTCGACGGGTGAGACGGGTATTCAGCCTTTACTAAACGGCACTTTGGGCGGTCCAATGGCGAACAAGAACAACTGCCATAAGCTCGAACCATAATTGATGCGAGAGCCAACACGACCAATCAAGCTTGGTCATGATCGACGTTGAGGAGCACAAAGTTACATGGTATCCAGCCCTTGTAAAGTGCCAGAGTGAAGAGAAAGGTATCTAGGGCATGGAGCATCAAAGAGCATGTGGTTGTTGTTGGGTGTTGGATCCTTGTAATCATAAGCCAGGATGGCATCCGTAAAGTGGTTTTGCAAGGTTTGTGATGGGTTGACATGACTAGGACAACTGCACAGAAATGGCTATGCAACTCAAAACATGACATGGACAGAAAAGGTGTGACTTATCCGGAGCCTGACAGGGTTGTATAGCCCAGGATCATACATAGCAATCTCTACCTGCAAGTGACAAATCTTGTTGTCGTTGCGCTGGCTAAGATGGGGGGCGGGCTAAGTGTGCCAATCATGAAGGAATAAAGGCGGGGAAACGGCGGCAGCCCGCACGGCACAGACGCAGCGGGCGAGCGGTACAAGGCCACGAAAGCGGCCAGGCCTTGTCGTGGTTGGTCGACGAGCGCGAAATGGGGCGTTGATGGTCTTTGGGCGGCAAGCGGCCCGCATGGTGCCATTCCGCGAGCTCTTCTAACGCGAGTGGTGATCGGGAGTTACCATAAAGTCGCAAGCAACTCGACGTATGTGACTCGGAAGTGGATGGGTCATGTCATGATCCAAAGCTTCGAGGTGCTGCAGAAGCGCGGAGTGGTTCCGGGACACATCATATGTACAGTACAGGGCTCGTAAATTGGCGGTGCGAAGCGCGGCGTGAACAATGCCGATCCTGACTTAAAAGGAAACCTCGTCGACCTCGGGAGAACTCGAACGACAAACACCAAGTCGACAGACGGACCCTGGATATGCAGTTGGTTCGAGATGCAGCACATCTCATGCCAAATTGTGGGCGTTGAAACACCTCGGCAGAGGGTCCGTGAGTGCTATGAGGTGTCGATCGCGGGCTTTCCTGCCCTGACAGACTCAATGCCGACAAAAGTATCGTGCCAATTGCGGTCTGTATCCACCTCCATGTTGTTGATATGTGATGGGTGTGTCAAAGAACTGTGTTGGTTGATATCCTGTCGGACGTTATAGTGGAGATTGCGACAGGCTTCAAGGCTGGATGAAGCAGGTGACGCTCACGAAAAGTTGTCATCACCAACACTCTTCATGCGTCCTGTGCATCTGCATTGCAAAGCACCTCGTGCTTGGCTTGGGCGTTCCCCTTCACTGCCCTGCCCTGTCTATGATACCAGCATTTCCAATCTCCAGGGAATTGATCTTGGAACCTTCTCCACCAAACATCTTATAACTCATCGCGGCACGGCGGAGATGTGACCGCGTGAAAAGGTTGGGTAGACGAGACGACTTGTACCCCTGCTTGAGGGACTTTTGGTAGATTGCCCTCGATGAACTGGGTTGAAGGGCCACAATCTCGAGTTGCCAGATCTGTACGGAGTACGGTTACCTACATACGGATACAGTACAGCAAAAAGCTTGTCGGAGAAGCGGCAGTAAAGCACCCGATCATGCAAGCCACATGCGCCACAGTACCTGTAATTAGCCACAGTCACCCCTCCTTCATGTCAGGTGCGGTGAGGCCTATCGCGGGGCTTGGCTCAGGCTGAGTAGCCTTGGTGACGTACATCCAACTAAGTAAACCCAGGTTT